ACACGTATGTAACAAGAAGGGGGGTTTACATATCTCCAAAAGTAATATTAATACACAAGCTCCAAACAGCAAAGTAAAATTCCACCCAAAGGAAGAAATAGAAAGAGACAGCTCTATGGTCTTATATTGTTCAGCAAGTGCTGAAAAGAAAACGATTACATCTAATGAAATATTAGTGAATGAAATCAGCCAATTTAAACAGTCAATGACTGATTTTCAAAAGGAGCGCACAGAACAATTTAATATAATGCAAGATAATAAACATGTCCCAGACTGAATCACTGAATGATGTAGTTAACAGCCTGTCAGCGATATCAGATATTTACACGCGGACTAAGGCACAGCATCAGATAAAGCAAAATGCTTCCTCTCAAGGCATTGTAAATGTGGAACTGCAACTCAGCAACCTCATTCTCAGGTCAGGATGATTTACATAACTGTAGAGCAGTGGCTTTAGACACAAGACACTGCTCAGAAAATGCCAGTTCTTAGTTTTCACTTGTTCTTTGACTTCAGAAAAATAATAGAGCAATTTATCTGTAGCAAAGAACTCTAACCACAACAGATCCAAATGTTTTTAATACCATGGCTTCCTACTTGAAGTCTCTGAGTTTAGCTTGGGAATCATGTTTGCACACCTAGCAGTGCTAACATTGCATGGCACTGTCAGGGCCCCTCAGGGTACCGCAGCACCCTGGTTGAGAATCAGTGCCCTAGAGAGAAATGAGAATCAGTGCCCTAGAGAGAAATCTTTAGTTATATCTTCCTCTTAGAAGCAGCTCATGTTACCCTTCCACCCTGAAACGCTTTACAGAAAACAAGCAGGAAGCATTGCATTGAATGAAATTCACCTAACTCCCCGAGTTGAAGGTGACAGCAACACAATAGGCAACAAAACATTTGATGGGACATTTCTTGGCAAGTGACACTCAGGCAAGCTCCTACAGTTACAAGACAGGCCATGGGATTTGTCATATCCATGGAGAGTACATAAAACCCCAGTGTCAAGGTTTTATCCAAAACACTTCACACAGTAATGATCAATTACTACTGTGTCAAGGACAAGAAAAAAAAGGCAACATGATCCTTATGGCCTGGACCGTTTTGGAGAAGAAGAAAAATATATCTAGATGATTAAGCTTAAACCTTAGGTATCTTTAAAGTCATTTGATCTTCAAGATCTTGTCAAATACTCCGGACCCCAGAAGCTGTGTCTTGTTAGAAATGATAACGCTCTATTGCAGGAGTGTCAAAAATATGGCCTGAGGGAGGGATTCAGCCTGCAGAGCCGCGGTGCTGCCCGAGTCCAGAGTTGACCCACACTCAGCACTGTACCTAGACTCCTGGCGGCCCCAGGTGAACTTTTAGTATTGGGCCCCCCTTTGCCAGAGATGAGGATAATAATAATAATAATCGGACAACGGAAAAATAATTACCATTTTTGGGCCCCCTTTCTGTCTGGGCTCTGGGTGGCCGCCCAGTTTGCCCATGCCTGTGTCTGGCCCTGCCCATGGTGTGCATGCAAGGCCCCAGACGCACACCACACACAGGGCCTGCTCCAGCCAGCCCAGGACCCGTGCTGCGCACACCACCTGCTGGATCTGGCATCTGGGGTAAGGGGAGTGTGTAGAGCCAGCCACGCGCCATTCATCCAGCCCATAAGCCAGCCTCACGCAACTCGTCCAGCCAGCAGGGCCAGATGAGCTTGCCACCCCTGCTCTATTGCAGTCCTGCTTATATAATGAAAGATGCATTTTCTGTGAAATCATAAATAGAAAGGAGCTAAAGACCCTCTATCTATTTACTCCAATGCAACTGTTCCTGCCTTTAAAATTCAATAATCTAAAACACATATAGTTACTTCATATAGTTAATTTGAGAATAGTTAAGAAACTCTGTAAAGGCTGCCATGGATATTTATTCAAAGGATATTTTCCTTATTCCCATTGTTTATACAGGACTAACGACTGTAAAATAAATCATGACCTAACTCTGAGTACCATGAAGTTGCTTACTATTTGATACTGTAATGAAATGATGGATGCTTATCCTGCTGGGGTGATCTGACCCCAGCTGCCTTCCTGTCCTTTGGGCAGGGGGCTGGACCCGATGACCTCGCGAGGTCCCTCCCAGCCCTAATGTCTATGAAATCTATGAAATTGTTTGTGTCTGTTCCTCCGCCAGCTGCCAAATGGAGTCAGAACTGCTCAGCTGTATATCTGCGTAGTCCAACGGTTCGATAGGACATTCATGGTCTACAAAGCTGTGGCTAGTGGTCCACAATCAGTCCATGGATTTCACCTCTTTTCAGGTAAAGGTCTGGTGATGAGGGGGAACGATGCCCATGAGAAGTTTTGAGGGTTGGCTGCTGGTCCAAACTATTTGCAGTCCATGGCTATAGACTGTATTATTTGGACCAGTCAGAAAGATTTTCCTTTAGTTTAAGAGATAACAGATCATGCTTTCTGAAGCACAAGGATATGAAAGTCTTCAGCTTTCTTTCAATGTAAATGTCAAAGTGGCCATACTGACCAAGATGGTGGGCAGAGGGGCTGGACCTGATGATCTTGCGAGGTCCCTTCTAGCTCCTTACAAGGTATGAATCTATGGCGACAACTTCCACGCTCTGGGCGGCCACAAAAGTAATCACCGAGTCCCGCTGGCGCTCTCGCTGCCTGCAGAAGTCATGCACTTGCAGCTTGCCTTGTTCTGAGAGCCATCTACCCCGCTCTTGCTGGATGGAAAACCCTGCGCTACCACGCAACTGCCGACAAAGTTAAGTGGGAACGAGCAGCGAGAAGCAAGGGTGAAAACAGGTTCGTTCTTAAAGTAACTGCTGTCTAGGCTTTTGAAACCTGCTTAAAACACAGCCCTCCATCCTCATATGCAACAGTGACATCTCTATACATCTAGTTTATAAATCCACCACCTGAAGCACGCCCAGCGGCTCACGCTACCACAAACATCCATTCCTTCTCCTGCTCCCGAGCGGCGCAGGTGCTTCACAAACGGCTCTCCCTGCCTCCGAAGGAGATCCGCGTCTCAACTTGCTTCACAGCCGCATGTACTAGGGCACTGGAGGCATCTCAATTTGATAGTGTACTAGGGCGTGGTAGCCGCGAGCTGGCCGGGACAAGGGCCCGGTTGCACCTCGTGTTGAGCTGCACAAGTGCCGGCCGCTGATCCAGAGCCGGGAGTAGTGACACCTTCGCCATCGCTGGGAACCAGGCGCTGAGGGGTGCGCATGGAGGGACCAGCTGGGAGCGGTCTAGCGAGCCCTTACACCCCCAAGAGGCCTAACTTTGAGCCGCTATGCGCTTCCGTCCCCAAGAGGCCCAACTTTGAGAGGCCTAGTGAGCGCTTCAGCCCCCAAGCGGCTTAACTTTGAGTAGTCTAATGAGCCCTTCTGTCCCCAAGCGGCCTAACTTTGAGCGGCCTAGTGAGCCCCTCCACCCCCCAGTGGCCTAGTGAGCACTTCAACCCCCAAGCAGCTCAACTTTGAGTGGCCTAGTGAGCCCCTTCACCCCCAAGAGGCCTAGTGAGCGCTTCAACCCCCAAGCAGCTCAACTTTGAGTGGCCTAGTGAGCCCCTTCACCCCCAAGAGGCCTAGTGAGCCCCTCAGCCCCCAAGTGGCCTAATTTTGAGCAGTTTAGTGAGTGCCTCAGTCCCCAAGTGGCCCAACTTTGAGCAGCCTAGTGAGCCCCTCAGCCCCCAGCGGCCTAGTGAGTCCCTCCACCCCCCAAGTGGCCCAACTTTGAGCGGCCTAGTGAGCTCTTCAGCCCCCAAGTGGCCTAATTTTGAGCAGCCCAGTGAGGCCCTCAGCGGCCTAATTTTGAGCGGCCTAGTGAGCGCCCCGCGGCCTAACGAGCGCTTGAAGCCGCTCCCGGGTGCGCCCCG